CGCCGCCGCGTCCGCTCCTTGCGGCTTCGCCCAGTGGTCGTCGCACTTGCGCCGCCCAGGGCGCCGGTCTGCCGGCCTCCCGGGCCCTGGGGCTCTCCCTGGCGGCTTTCTGTCGGGGCGGCCCTCGTCGCCCGTCTCCCCCGCGGCCCCTCCGCGGCCGTTCTGGCCCTGCGCCCAATGCCGCCCGGCACGCGCCTTGCTGGGGTCGTCGGTGTCTGTCCGGGCTTTCAGTGCGTCTCCGTCACTGGGCCCCCATGTGGCCCCTCGACTCTCGGTGCCGGGCCGCCCCTCAGCGCCCGCCCTGCGGGGGGCGCTCGGGGCCCCTTCGCTCTACCCCCTGTTGGCCCGTGGCCCGCGGTATCCAGGCGCGCTGCCTCGGCGGCCCCTCCCCGGCGCCCTGCTCGGGGGCCTTCGCCATGCTCGCGCGCCCCCCCCCGCCTCCTCCCGGGCGGCCGGCGCGGGCCGTTCTCTCAGCTCCTTATCGCACGGGGTCGACGGACTCCTTCCTGGTCCTCCCCCTCCGCACCTGCCCTTCCCCGTCAGTACTCCTCGCCGCCTTGGCGGCGTGGCGGCGCCTTTCCGGTCTCTGGCTGTCCAGATTTGGTCCGTCGAGCGCCCTCATGATTGGTGACTTCCCTCGAAGCGTTGACCTCGCTGGCTTACGTTCCGCGGTCCGGCGGCTCGGCTTGAACTCGCTGCTCGTCTCGTTGACGGTCTTCGACGTGGTCGTGGAGTTGGTTTCGAAACTCACCATTTTGGTGCTGCACTTCGCCCGGAAGGACTTCCTGGTGTGCGCCGTCCTGTGAGCGCCAGCGAGGCTCGCCTCCTGTTTGCCCCCTCCCGCTTGGTCTTTCCTCCTTCGCTCTTCCCTTCACCTTGCGCTAATTCAGGCCGTTGCTAGTCTGCGCCGCCCCTTGACGCCGCCCGAAATCTCGCCGCGGTCGCGATCAAAAAAGCACCCCCACCAGCTCATCCAGAAACGATGCCCATGAGAGCTGACGGCATCCTGGGGAGGCTCCGTGGCAATCTCGAGCCGTCTTGGGGCCTCTTGGGGCATCTTGGGACCATCTTGAGCCAGTTTGAGTTATTTTGAGTCATCTTGGAGGATATCTGGGGCTCTCTGAGGCCGCTTGGGGGCCATTCGGGGGCCTCTCGGAGGCCTCTCGGGTGCCTCTTGCCTCTTGGCGCCCTCTCGGGGCCTCTTGGGGCCTCTTGGGGCGCTAGTGGAACCCTCTTGGGGTCCTCTGGGGAGCCCTGGAGGGCCTCTTGGGTCCATCTTGGAGACGGTCGGCCAAAAGAAGGGGGGCACTCGATTTAGGTCCCCCCATCGGGGGCCACGATCTTCGTGAGGGGTGGCAAACATGGCCTTCCAAATGGCCGAACAAGGAGCCTCCGACACCTCGCGACCCTTCCTGAAAAACCTCAGGGAGGGAAGGGGGAGGGCTCCCCTCCCGAAGGGGAGGGGTTGTGGAAGAGGAAGCAGACCCTCCTTAGACCACCTGTCGCCCAAAGGGCTTGTGGGATTTGGGGGCCTCTTGGGAGCCTTTTGGGGGCCTCTTCGGGCTTCCTGGAGGCCTCTTGTGGGTTTCCTGGGCCATCTTGGGACCCTTTGGGGTCTCGTGGGGGCCTCTCGGGGCCGGGGGCTCCAAATGTCCATTCGGGTCCCCCGTTTAGGCTCGCTCTTGGAGCCGTCTTGAGGACTTCATGGGGCGTCTTGCAGGCGTTTGGGGCGGTTTTGGGGTCCTTTTGGGCTGTCTTGGGGGCCCCTTGGGCCGTTTTAGGGCGATCTTGGGGCCTGTTGCGCCGTCTTGGAGCGGCGGGAAATGAAACAGGCGAGAACGCCCAAATTGAAAACAACCAGCGGGGAATCAATTAATTTTGATTATTGGGGCCCTTTCGGGTGTGCTCTTGGAGGCTTCTTAGGGCGTCCTGGAGGCCTCCTGGGCAGTCTGGAGGGCGTGAAGGCGTGTTGGACCGATCGCTTGACGATTGGGAGCCCTTTTGGACCGTCTCCGGTGCCTCTTGGGGCACTCTTGGCCTGTTTTGGTATTTTCTGAGGCCCTGGGACCTTCTGAGGGGATGCGTTTCTGACCCCCCCCCAGGACCCCCACCCTTCCCCCTCTGGGACCCCCCCCGACGGCGGAGGGATCAAAGGGCAAGCTCGAGGGGGAGGGCGCAGGGAAAGCGGACGACGGAGACGACGACTGACGGAGACGACGACTAGAATAGACAAGCCCCTCACACACGCCGACTGGATCGGCAAATTTGTTGCCCCACAGCCCGACACCGTGCCCAAACACCATTCCTGGTACGTTAGCCATGATAATCCGTAAGACTGTTGTAAGCTCGTACAACGAATGTGCGCGGCGCGAAGGCGAGAGCCACATTTAACAATGGAGCTGCCCTCCACCCGCGAAGTTCTTGCACAGTGTTAAGATGAATGTGCGCGGCGGTAAAGCGAGAGACACATGTTGAAAACGGCCCGCCCTCCATCCGTGAAGCTCTTGCGAATAGTCACGTCAAGGATCATACGTGGTGAGGACGTCGCAGGCGAAACGCCCAACCCGCCCTACGGACACGCTTCGGGGCGCGACACGGAGGAGTTACTTGTATGGAAAAGGGGAGAAGGAGGAGGAGGAGGAGGAGGAGGAGGAGGAGGAGGACCAGTGTAAGCCTAAAACGCATCGACGATTTTGGAATCAACCCTCCCTCCAATATCCCTCTTCACGGGCCTCTACAAGGATTCATTTCCAGTGAGGGCAGTGCCCCGTTGGGAGACATACGGTTGAAGACCTGAACCGTGCCAACACACCGTTCTCGGGACTCCAACGCCACGAATCAACCTGACTGTTACGCCTTGACGGTCCCGACTCGTGCCAGAAAACCGTTATTGGGACTTCAACACGGCTAGTCAACGTAACAGTTGCGCCCTGACAGTCCTGAGTCGTTCCCAAACATGATGTTTGCTACGTTGACCGTGGGAATTCGTGAAAGTGGGCAAACGTTTAAGACGAGTGTGCGCGGCGCGACGGCGAGTGCCACATGTTGACATGGACCTGCCATCTATCCAGGAAACTCTTGCAAATGTTTGAGGCGAGTGTGCGCGGCGCTAAGTCGAGAGCCACGTTGTGAAAAGGAACCGCCCTCAATCCGTGAGGCTCTTGCAATTGTTTAACGAGTGTGCGCGGCGCCAAGGCGAGAACCATACTGCGATAACGAATTGCTGAGTCAGCGCGAGTCACCGTAAGTGTTGCGCCCTGACAGTCCTGAACCGCTCCATAACACCGTTTCTGGTACCTTAGCCTTGAGAACCAGTGCAATTTCTGCAACTCGATCCAAGGAATGTGCGCGGCGCGAATGCGAGAGCCACATTTTGAAAACGAGCCGCCCTCAGTCCGCGCAGCTCTTGCAGTTGTTTCATAAGAGTGCGCGCGGTGGTGAGGCGAAAACCGCATTTTGAAAGCCACCCGCCCTCAATCCGTGAATCTTTTGCAAATGTTGAAGCCACATTTTGAAACGACCTGTCCTCAACCCGTGAACACGTCCAAACTTTGAAACGATCGCTCGCGGTGCTGAGGCGATATCCACATTTTAATAACGACCCGCCCTCAATCCGTGAAGTTCGTGCAATTTATTCAGCGAATGTGCGCGGCGCTACGGCGAGAGTCACATTTTGAACACATTCTGGAAACCGCCCGCTTCCATCTGTGAAGTTTCTTTTTGTTTCAAAGTGAAAGCTTCAGGTTCATCAGTGGTGAGGAAGTCTTCGGGAAACGCCCGGCCCGCCTTTTCGACCCGCTTCGAGGGGCGACAGGGAGGAGTCATTCATAAGGAACAGGATTGGAGGTGGAAGAGGAGGAACATGCACCTGCCATCAATCCAGGAAACTCTTACAAATGTTTGAGGCGAGTGTGCGCGGCGCTAAGGCGAGAGCCACGTTGTGAAAAGGAACCGTCCTCAATCCGTGAAGCTCTTGCATTTGTTTAACGAGTGTGCGCGGCGCTAAGGCGAGAACCATATTGTGAGAACGAATTGCTTTCAATCCGCTCAACTCTTGCAAGTGTTTAAAACGATTGTGCGCGGCGCTCAGGCGAGAGCCACATTTTGAGAACGACCAGCCCTCAATCCGTGCAACCCCTGGAGTTTTGTGCAACGAATGTGCGCGGCGCTAAGGCGAGAACCGTCAATATGCGATCCACCGTCAATCCGATAATGTGCTGCAAACTTTAAAACATATGCGCGGTGCGAAGACGAGAGCCACATTTTGAAAACGACCCGCCTCAACCCGATACTATTTTACAATGTGTTTGAAAGGGGTGTGCGCGGCGGGAAGGCGGGAACCACATTTTGAAAACGAACCGCCTTCAGCCCGCGAAGCTCTTGAAATTATGTTTGAAACGAGTTCGCGCGGCGCTAAAGCGGGAGCCACATTTTGAAAACCACCCGCCCTCCATCTGTGAAGCTGCTGAGGCGAAGAAGTCTTAGGCGAAGCGCCCCTCCCGCCCTTTCGACTGGCCTCGGGTGGCGACAGGGAGGAGGTATCTATAAGCAAAACGAATGAACGACGAGGAGGAGGAGGATGAGAAGGAGGAGGAGCAGGAGGAGGAGGAGGAGGAGGAGGAGGAGGAGGGAGGACGAGGAGAAGCAGGAGGAGAAGCAGGAGGAGGAGGAGGAGGAGGAGGAGGAGCGAGAGAGAGCAGAGGAGAAGCAGGAGGAACTGGAGGTGGCGGAGGGAGGAGGAAGAGGAGGAGGAGGAGGGAAGGAGAGGAGGAGGAGGGAGGAGGAGGAGGAGGAGGAGGAGGAGGAGGAGGAGGAGGGAGGAGAGGAGGAGGAGGAGGAGGGAGGAGGAGGAGGAGGAGGAGAGGAGGAGGGAGGAGGAAAAGCAGGACAAGGAGGACGGGGTGGAGGCGGATAGGGAGGAGGCAGAGGAGGAAGAGGAGGAGGAAGAGGAGGACGAGGAGGAGGAGGAAGAGCAGGACGGGGAGGAGAACCTCGTGCAGGCTTGGCGCCTGGAGCACGACCTCGCGGGCGTGCGGCGAAGCCTCGCTGGCTGCCTGGGCGGCCTGGGCGTTGGCGCGGGGGCCGTGCCGCCTTCGGCATGCCTGCCAGGCCACGAGCAGGTCTGCCAGCTGATGGTGGTGAGCCGAGGGAAGAACCACAGGGACCATGACCAAGATGCCGCAGGAATTTGAAGTGGAGAAGGCGGGCCCCTTTGGTCTCCCCCAAGGAGGACAAAGAGGAGGAGGACTAGGAGGAGCAGGAGGAGGAGGAAAATAGGTCGGAGGACCACTGAAAACCCAAGACCCAACAAAGATGTTGGAATAGACCCTCCCTTCAAGCTCCCTCTTCATAGGTCCCTACAACGTCTCATTTCCACTGAGGGAAGTGCTCCGTTCGGGGACAACCGTGTGAAAATGCGGAATCGCGCCAAACACAAGTTTCAGGACTTCAAGGCCACGGGTCAAATTGACTGGTGCGTCTTGACAACCTTGAATCATGCCGCATAGCCGTTCCTTTACTTCAACAACGTGAGTCACCGTGACTGTTGCGCCCTGACAGTCCTGAACCGCTCAATAACACCATTTCTGGAACATTAGCCTTGAGAACCAGTGAGATTTCTGCAACTCGATCAAAGAAATGTGAGCGGCGCGAACACGAGAGCCACATTTTGAAAACGAGCCGCTCTCAGTCCGCGAAGTTCTTGCAGTTGTTTCAAACGGGTGCGCGCGGTGGTGAGGCGAAAACCGCATTTTGAAAGCCACCCGCTCTCAATCCGTGAATCTGTTACAAATGTTGAAGCCACATTTTGAAACGACCTGTCCTCAACCCGTGAACACGTCCAAAACTTGAAACGAGCGTTCGCGGTGCTAAGGCGAGATCCACATTTTGAAAACGACCCCCCCCTCAATCCGTGAAGCTCTTGCACTCTTGCAGTTTTTGGAAACCCATGTGAAGGGCTCCAAGGCGGGATCCACATTTTGGAAGCGCCCCGCCCTCTATCTGTGAAACTATTGCCAGCTGTCCAGCTTCAGGCTCATAAATGGTGAGGAAGTCTCAGGCGTAACGCCTGGCCCGCCCTTCCGATTGACCTCTGGGTGCGACAGGGAGAAGTTGTTCATGGGGAAAAGGAATGGAGGAGGAGGAGGAGGAGGAGGAGGAGGGGGAGGAGGAGGAGCAGGAGGAGGAGGAGCAGGAGGAGGAGGAGGAGGAGGAGAAGGAGGATAAGTGCAAACTCAAGACTTATCAGCGATGTTGGAATATACCCTCGCTCCAAGCTCCCTCTTTGCCCCGCTGGAAGACAGCCGGTTCAAGGTCTGAACCGTACCAAAACACCGTTCTCGGGACTCCAACGCCACGGATCAACTTGACTGCTACGTCTTGACGATCCGGAATCGTGCCATACTGCCGTTTCTGGGACTTCAACACGGCGAGTCAACATAACTGTTGCGCCCTGACAATCTTGATTCGTTCCGAAACATCATTTCTGGTACGTTGACCATGGGAGTCTGTGAAACGGGGCACATGTTTAAGACAAATGTGCGCGGCGCTACGGCGAGAGCCACGTTTTGAAAAGGAGCCGCCCTCGAGAAGGAGGAGAAGGAGAACGGGAGGAGGAGGACTGGGAGGAGGAGGAGGAGGAGCAGGAGGGGGAGCAGGAGGGGGAGCAGGAGGAGGACAAGGAGAAGGATGAGGAGAGAGGAGGAGGAGGAGGAGGAGGAGGAGGAAGAGAAAGAGAGAGGAAGAGGAAACCCAGACCAAGATGGAAACACGGGGACCCTAAACGCCGAGGAGGAAGAAGATCGGACTAGCAGAGGCCAGGGTCCCTCGCGCGGGCACGCCCCACCCAGCTGCGTGCGCGATGGTGGCTCCAGCAGCCCAGCACGGGCGTGTCGAAATACACCGATGGTGGTGGAAACACGGGGACCATGACCAAGGTGTCGCGCACGAGGATGGGGAGGGGGTCGGCCTCAGAAACTCTAAAGAAGTTTCGCCAGGCAGCAGATGCGCATTCTAACCCACCCCAGCGCGCAGGAAGCACAGTGGCGGACTGCTCCGACTCTCGGTATCCACGCAGGAGCACGTGACTTGCATAGTCGGGCCTGGCTTCTCAACAATTTGAGCCTCGGGAGGCTTGTGCGCCACACCGCCTGGAACCGAGGGACGAAGCACGGGGATCATGACCAAGATGCCGCAGGATTTTGTCGATGCCGGTCTTGGTCATGGTCCATGTCGGCCGCCGCCGATTCGCGAGGGTGCTTCACGAATCGACGCCGATCGACATCGATGGTGACCAAGATCGGCACGACGCTTTGGTCATGGCCTCCGTTTTCTTCCCCTCCAGGTGAACCCCTGCGTGCTCACCACGGTCGACGGCCGACCCGTGAGCATCTGGCACATCTCGGGGAGCAAAAACGGACACAAACATAAACGTTCGGAGGTCGGCGCGGACTTCTCGGATCGGCGCTGGAGCCCCTGGCGGCGCCTCCGGCGCCGCCCCGGGCGCGCGCGCTCCGCGTCCAGCGCCGATCCAGGAAATCCGTGCGGACCTCCGACCGTTTATGTCTATGCCGCCTTTTTGTGCCTCTGGCATCGGCAGCGCCCGCAGCTCCGCCGTCGGCTCCACCCCCGACGACATGCTCGCGGCCTGGTCTCGGGCCACCTTCGAGTACGTGGACCTGTGGCTGTCGGCGCAGAGCGAGACGTCCGGCTGCCTCGCGGGCCACGTGCAGGTGTTCGACCTCAGCGGCCTCGGCTTCCGCCTCGTCTCCAACTCGGCGCTGCAGGAGAAGCTGAAGGTCGCGCTGGGCGCGGGCGGCTTCTACGTCGAGGTCGTCTCCCACATCTTCGTGATCAACTCCGGCACCCTGTTCACCATGGCCTGGAAGGTGATCGAGAACTTCATCACGCCGAGGACCGCCTCCAAGATCCAGCTGCCTCCGGCACTTCCGCCACCGTGCCAGCGCAGCCTTCCGGGCGGCAGGTGGCACCTGTCCGACAAGGCCGAGGAAGGGGGCCTGCTGGGGGCAGCCGGCACTTGGCGCCTCGCCGTGCCAGGGGGGCACGGTGGCGGATAGTTGTCAACGGCGGCGTGCCCGGCGCCCTCGCCGAGCTGCTCGACGCCCCCTCGCGGGAGAGGCTCGCGGAGGAAAGCCCGGCACGAGCTCGAGCCGTGGGGGGCCCCCAGGGGCGCCGCAGGACCGGCGCGTGCGCCCTCCTGGCTTGGCCAGGGAGGCACGTGCGCCGACCCTCGGCCCCGGGTTCGGCCAGGCCAGGATGGGTGAGGTGGGCAGCTGGCTCGAAGAGGAAGGAAAGGCAGCAGCACAGGCCTAACCTCACCCTCGGAGGTCCGTGTGGACCTCCGAGAGTTTGTGTGTGTGTGTGTCCGTGCCGTGTTTCTCCTCCCCCTGTCGGCGACCCCAGAGTTCCCGACCCCTTCCCCCGCGTGGCATTAGTCCTGCGCCCAGATCCGTTTCGGATGGTCCCGGGGCCTGCGCGGACCTCTGCGACATTCTGCGAACCCTACCCGTCCGGGTCCAATCGACGCTGGGGTGACGGACACTCCCGCTGGGGTGCACTTGATTGCAGGAATCTTTCGAATTCTGAACCCCAGCCGGTTGCTCAGAAACCTGACCTGCAGGTGATAGGGTTCACATGTTGATGCCTACTTTCTGATGGTGATGATGATGCTGATGATGATGACGACAACGACGACGACGACGATGATGATGATGATGATGATGATGATGATGATGATGAGAATGGTGAAATTGATGATGATGGTGATGATGATGATGATAATGGTGGAATTGATGATGACAATGCTGATGATGATGATGATGATGATGATGATGATGATGATGATGATGATGATGATGATGATGATAATGATGATGATGATGATGACGATGATGATGATGACGATGACGATGACGATAACGATGACGATGACGATGACGATGACGATGACGATCAGGACCAGAATCAGGACCAGGATCAGGATCAGGATCAGGATCAGGATGAGGATGAGGATGATGATGAAGATGAAGAAGAAGATGATGTATAATCGCATGGTTGTCGAAAGACAATCAATCATCAACGTCTACGTGGGCACAGGCGGGGTGCCGACTACACTGGCGTGCAGCACCAGCTTGGTCCTCGCAGCACACTGCGGCGAGTGTTGCTGCACCCCGCCGCGTGCCGCAGCACCTGCGAGGGAGACTGTAGCGACCTGTCCCAGGCACTGCGGGCCCGAGGAGAAACGAGCACGACGTGTCGGGGACGGTTATCATTATAATGATGGCCCAAAGAACGTCATCATCCAGGAAAGGAGGAACCACAAGCGCCAACACCACGAAGCTCGCATCCACGAGCTTGTACACCACGACGCTGCCGCCCACGAGCGTGAACACCACGGAATACCGCCTAAGAGCGTGGACGCCACGAAGCTGCTGTCCACGAGCGCGGGCACAACCGTGAACATTACGAAGTTGCAGCCCACGAGCTTGAAGGCCGCGAAGCTGCCGCCCACGAGCGTCAACACCAAGAAGTTCTCGCCCTCGGGCGTGAACGCAACGAAACTGCCGCCCACGAGCGTGAACACCACGATGCTGCTGCCCACGAGCGTGAACACCACGAAGCTGACGCCCATGAGCGTGAGCACCACGAAGCAGCAGTCCACGAGCGTGAACTCCCCGAAACTGCCGCCCACGAGCGCGAACACCCTGAAGCTGCCGCACGAGCGGGAACGCAACGAAGTTGCCGTTCACGGGCTTGAAGACCACGAAGCTGATGCCCCCGAGCGCGATCACCACGAAACCGTCGCTCACGAGCGCTTGCGCCACAGAGCTGCCGCTCACGAGCGTGATCAACACGAAGCTGCCGCCCACGAGTTTGAAAACCATGATACTGCCGCCCACGAGCGTGAATACCACGAATCTGCCGCTTACGACTGTGAACGTGACGAAGCTGCTACCCACGAGCGTGAACACCGCGATGCTGCCGCCCACGCGTGTGATGACCGCGAAGCTTCCGCCACCGGGCTTGCACACGACGAAGCTGCCGCCCATGAGCATGAACACCATGAAGCGGCAACCCACGAAAACGAAGTCCACGAAGTTGCCGTCCATAACGTGAAAAACCGTGATGGCGCCCATCGTCTTCTCGCCCGCAACGTTTGTGCCTCCGGCCGGTGGGGGTGGGGACCCAGAAGTACCAATGAGCGCTGATAACGTAAAGCCGCCAAGAACCCAAATAGTACTATTAAGATATGTCGCCGCACCATTTTGTTCCGACGCGCGGCCTTACTTCTTGGGCAGGGTGCAT